AAGGACGCGCCTGCGCGCAGCCAGCGCGCGGGCAGCCGACCCGGGGGTCCGGGAGCGTGGGGCTGGGCGCCGTGGTCCCCGCTTCCGTGCTGCGCCGACCTAGAGAGTGACTTGGTGACAGTCACGCTCCTCGGAAGGGGGCCAGAGTGTGCAGAGGTAGGGGGTGGGCTGGCTGCGCGCAGACGTGGTCCCACCTGACCCTGGGATCTTTCTCCTCCCGCAACCAGTCCACGCCAAGGGGGATTGGAAGCTCCAGGGACAGAGAACAGTGCCAAAAGTTCCCAAAGTGGGCCGCCGGCTGAGTTGGCTTGAACCAGTAGCAGGCTGCAGACGTGTGCCCAGGTCCCCTCCACGCGAGGCTCCTCCGACTGTCCCAGAGCTGCCAGTGTGAACGCGGCTGCTGTTCTTTTTCCTTAAACCAGACCAGACAGGAGCCCTTCCCCGGTTGGAGAGGGATGTCGACGTGGAGCGAGGCGGCGCCTGGGGAGGGCTGAGCTGCAGGTCCGGGAGTGCCGGCTCCCGCCAGACCCGATGCGGCCCTGGGGGGGGACGGGGACCCGAGCGGGCACCGGATTCCCAGGCGGTGGGCGCCTTGGACGGGAGGACTGTGCTGTATCCCCAAGAGCTGGAAGCCGCGGGGCCCATGCTCTTTCAGTGTGCGCCCTTCTCTAAAGGGGTGTGCCCAGAACTCCTGGGCTCCACCTTTCCGAGCCCACCACGGCACTGCAGGCCGCCCCAGCCCCAGTCTGGAGCCTCACCCCACCCCCTACCCTTTCCACACTGGCTCTGGCGGGAACCACCTGGGCGCTGTAAACACTACTGCTCTCTCCAGCCTTTGGCACTGATAGCTCAGGTTCCGCCTTAGAGTCAAGGGTTTTAAAGGCCCCAGGTGATTCCAGTGTGGAGGGAACAGAGCCTCCCAGCTGGGAGTCAAGGGTTTTAAAGGCCCCAGGTGATTCCAGTGTGGAGGGAACAGAGCCTCCCAGCTGGGAGTCAAGGGTTTTAAAGGCCCCAGGTGATTCCAGTGTGGGGCTCTCTCCAGCCTTTGGCACTGATAGCTCAGGCTCCCTGCTGAGGGTCAAGGGTATTAAAGCCCCCAGGTGATTCCAATGTGGAGGGGACAGGGCACAGCCTTACCCCAAAGCCCCATGATGGATTTGAGATTCTGCCTGTTGTTTGGAGATGTTTGGAGACTAGTGGTGGGAGGGGTTCTGGTCCACGCTGGGGCTTGATAGAAGTGACCCAGGCCTTTTACCATGAAAACCATCCTGTGCTCTGAATGGCCCTCTTCCCTGCAGAGGTGTCTCCAGTTTGTCTCAGTTTGGAGGGTCAGAGCGGCTGCACGTGTGGGGAAGGCATGTTGAGCAGCAGGGCTCCCTCTTCTGCCGTGGCTGACCCAGGATGCTCGCTCCTGAGGGACACTTCTCTGGATGCTTCTCTGTGCCAGTCAGCTGGTGCCAGCCTCGGGAGGTGCCCAGCTCGCCCGGTTTGGCTTGGCTCTTGGGTTTGGTTTTATTTTTCCTTCCTCACTTACTCTGTGCCAGCCATGGCACACAGCTGTCCTTGATCTTTCGTATTTGGCTGTGGGACGAAGCTTCGGGCCCTGTCCCTCAGGTGGTGACTCTGGCGTTTAGAAAACCCCCACCCAGCCGAGAGGTATTCTTGGTCCTGTACGTTCAGGGACTCCTTGAGCCTTGAGCAGAAAAACCCCCACCCAGCCAGGAGGTATTCTCGGCCCTGTATGTGCAGCCACTCCTTGCACCTTGAGCAGAATTCGCCTCCAGGACAAGCTGCACTCGCTCCCATTTTACAGATGAAGATGCTGAGACTCGTTGAGGTTGCCCAGCGAAACGCAGGCGATGAGTGGTGCAGCTGGGGCGGAGCCAGGCAGTGGCACCAGGCCCTGTGCTTACTTATCCTGCTTCTCATGGTGTAGACAAGCCTGGTCGGTCCAAGCAGTTCATGTGCTCGGCTGCTAACTGAGAGGTTGGAAGTTTGAGCCCATCCAGAAGCACCTCAGAAGAAAGGGCTGGCAATCCATGGAGCATACATCAAGCACTTGATCAGTGCAAAGGACTGATGGGCCACGAGACCGCAGCCTCCAGGACTCCGAGACCAGAAGACCTAGATTGTGCCATGCTGCCACTGCCCACCACTGCGCGTGGTGCTACAGCAGAAGGTTCTGGACCGAGGGAGGAAAATGCAGAACGAAGCTGGCCCCCAGATGCCTTTTAGCCCTCGGTCACCTTCCAGCAAGCACCAGAACAATACCCGTGAGGACCACCATGAGACCTGAGGGCAGCGTTTGCTCAAAAGGCAGGGAAAGACGGACCCCAGAGAGGAAGTGAGAAGAGTGTTATTTCCTGGGAGACTGTGTCACAGAGTAGACTGTGTGCAGATCCTCCCAGGGGATGCGGGTGTGCTCTGCAAACCGCAATAAAATTTTCTCACCGCAAGCAGCATAAACAATGCCGTTCCACTCTTAACACAGGTGGAGATGCCAGGGTGTTGGGGGGGATGGGGGGGCGGCTTTCCCAGGTCTGGCTCAGTGACTGCCTTTGTTCACAAGAAAGAAAACCCCTGTGTACCTTTGGCAGAGGTGGGAGCTTAAGATGGGGCTGTAATCAGAAAGGAGGGAGTAGCTGCCAGGGCCAAGGGTGGAAGGACCTGCCTCCTCCTCTGTTTAACCAACCGGTCAGCCAGGCCGCTGGGCACCCCATCTCCCAGTTGACTGCTAATCTGGGGTTTCCTCCAGGATCAGATGCCGATAGGAGGCTGGATTCCACACGCCAGGGGGGCCTGCCTGCCATGTCTCTCCCCTAGTCTGGTACCTGTCAGTGACACCTGCCCTAGCTTCACCTGCTGTGGGCCCAGCCCGCCCCGAGCCGGCCCCACTAGCCACACCTGCACTTGACAGTTGGGAGCTGAGGGAGTGTCTGCAGGCATGTTGGATTCCAGTTCAACGATTTGCACACACTTTGTTTCAGGACATTGGCTGAGGTCCCCTCAGGGTAACCACACTTGCCCCCATCCCTCCCTGGGTTTCCTGTGTCCATTTGCCCTCCTTTCCTGTACCCTCCCGCGTGCCGGGCTGTTTGGGGCCAGTGCCTTCTGGATCTCCTGTGGTTTTTCTGAGTGGCACGTCCTCACAGGTGTTACCAAGTGCTTAGCAGGCCTGTGTTTGCCTTCAAGGTGCTCTGGGGTGGGATCAGATCCAGACATGAAAGGTGTCTTAGGGCTGCAATCTGGAGTTCCCCTTGGTTGTAAGACTCTGGGCTTGCCCCCTAGACAAGGCCTGCTGCTTTGGGGAGCTGGGCAGAGCCCACTTCTAGGTCCACAAGACCTAGAAGGTGCTAGGGACTGGGCTGGGTGTGAACGAACCCCACCCCTGGCCCTGGTGTGGTTCTTACGCCATCTTTGGATCAGAGGTAGGGGGACCCCTGGTCGCCCCAATCCAGGATGAGTGCGTGGGAGCCTGCCATGCGTCTGGCCAGTGCTTATTTCATTCCTGCTCTGTGCAGTTCTGGTCCTGAGGGGATGACCCCTGCCCACAGGGAGGTGACATTCTAGCATGACGGCCGGCCTTCTTCAGTATGCTTACCTGATCAGACATTGGCGTCCACTCACCCAGCCTCGGGCAGCTGCTTCACACAGGCTGGTGGGCGTTACCATTGCAGGGGGATGTGGAGCCGTGCACAGGGCCTGAGGGCGGGACAGGCTGGCTGGGTTCCAGAAGCACATGCAGCCACCAGGCAGAGGTTCTAGGGGAGGCTGTCTGAAGCCCCAGAGGGGCATGAGCCTTTGTTCTAAAAATGTACTGGGGCGAGCTCTGATGGCCTAGTGGTGGGAAGCTGCACTGCAATCCCAGAGGTACGCGGTTCAAATCCACCAGATGCTCTGCTGGAGAAGGAGGGACAATCTCCTCCTGTACCAGTCAGATCCGATTTGATGGTAAACGCAATTAAAAAAAAAAAGTACTGGTTACTATTTATGGAGCTCTGGTGGTGCCGTGCTAAAAGCACTCAGCTAGAAAGATCAGCAGCAGTTCAAGGTCACCAGGCCTTCCGAAGACGAGGCCGTTCGCTCCTGTGAAGGTTCCCAGCCCTGGAGACCGAGGGGCAGTTCGGCTCTGCCCTGCAGGGTGGCTGCCAGTCAGGGGGGACTAGCCGGCATTGAGTGGTGTCCCCCAGCACTGTCACGTCCAGCACTCCTCATCGCTCTGTTCCCAGTCAGTGGTGGTGACATCTCAGAGGAGGGAGTGTGGGGGGAAGGATGGTGGATGGATAGGCCTGACCCGTGGCTGTGGGGGGTAAGGAGATAGAGGACCCCCAGCGCTGCTTTCAGGCTCCAAGGTGTCTGGACAAGTTGGAGGAAGAGGGAGGTGAGGCTGACCTGAGTCTGGTGTTGGAAGGGAGTTGGAGGAGAAGCTGAGCTGGGTCCACTTCCTCCTGGATATGTTCCTCATCACCTGCAGGAAGGTAGCTTCCGATTGATCGGCAGGGAGACAGCAGGCCCCGCACCTCGCAGGTGTCTGGAAGTGAGGAGGAGCAGGAAGCTTTTTGAGTTTAGCATTTTTAAAATTTATTTTTCATTTCTGACACAACCCTGGCTGCTTCCTGAGGAGGACCTGAAGCTCTTGCAGCAGAAGGTCAAGAACTGCAGCCTTCAATATGGGTTGAAGCTCAACATCAAGAAAAGATTCTCACCACTGGACCGTTTGGCAGCACCATGATAAACGGTGAAGAGATTGAGATTGTCTACAGTTTCAGTTTGCTTGGCTCCACAATTAACACTCTTGGTACCAGCAGCCAGGAAATCAAGAGACAAATTGCATTGGGAAAGTAGGCTGTCAAGAGACTTCTCCAGAGTACTGAAGAGCAACGACGTCAGAAGACTAGGGTGCGCCTGAATCCAGTTGCTTGCTGTGTTTCAGAGAGCTGGACAATGACTGGGGATGACAGAAAAGGAATTGATGCCTTTGGGCTGTGGTGCTGGAGAAGAGTGTTGAATATACCATGGACTGCCAAGAGAACAAACAGGTTCATCCTAGAGAGGATGAGACCAGACTGCTCCTTGGAGGCAAGGATTCTGAGGCTTCGTCTGACATACTGCAAGTTGGAAAGGAGGGACCAGTTCCTCGAAAAGGGACGTCATTCTTGCAAGGGTGGAGGGACAGAGAAAGAGAGAAGGACCCTCGATGAGGTGGATTGATTCAGTCACTGGGGTAGTGAGGGTGAGTGTGTCAGAGACAGTAGAGTTGGCACGAGACAGAGCAGGGCCATGGTACATAGGGTCACTAGGAGTCACAAGCGACTCAATGGCACATAACAGAAATTTTTGTTAATGTATCCAGTCACTGTTGCATATTTCCTTCCTTCTCCCCCTCCCTCCCTTCCCCAGTCCCTCAGCAGTGTACCTCTTGTTCTACATATAATCATATATTCCTTTCAGGCTCTTCCTCCCTTCATCTGTTCCAGTGCAGTGTTCATTATCCACTATTTTCCCATTCTCTTCCCCCGCCATCAGTCCTATTTTATAACAGTGATGTTATGCAGTATTTGTCCTTTTGTTACTGAGATATTCCACTCGGCACAATGTCCTCCAGGCTCCCCCATGTTGTGTAATGTTTTACGAGTTTTTCAGTGCTGCGTTAACTTCCCTAATATCCCATTGTGT